CACCCGGCCGGGTGTGAGGACGCGGCCCTGAGTGGTGCCTCAGCTGTCACCCAACCCCGCCTGCTCTCTGCTTCCTCTCCAGCCGTCTCTACAGCACCCGCGGGACTGGGAAGCCAGCAGCGCGGCTCGCACTCACCCACGAAGAGCTGGCTGTTGAGCTGCAAGAGCCTGTGTCCATCCTCGGGGGCCTGGCGGGTGCTGGGGGGCAGCAGGTCCACCTGCAGCAATGCCTCCTTCACGTTCCTCTCGGCTCGGACCAGGTGCCACCGGTTGTCACTGAGGGGAGTGGGCGACTGCACCGTGAGCTCGCAGGGCCCGTTTCCCACGTCGAACGAAAAGGCCACTTCTGCGGGGGCTGGAAACATCCCACAGGGAAGCAGTGTCAGCGGCAGCCGAGGAGGGGCCTGAGCTTGGACCATGGGGAGGGCTCCCCGGTGGCAAGGGCGTGGGGCCCTCAGGCGGGGAGTCGACTTTTGGAGTCGGGTGAAAAGGCAAAGTTAACTTATGTATACGGGAAAATAAATAAGCTCAGAATGCACAGTTCAGTTTACTAAGTAAGGAACTGGAAAGGTAATGACCTGTGGCAGAGAAACTCTAAACCACCTGGGTCTGTGGAGAATTTCATCCTGAACCTCACACAGTTTGATGAGCAGGTTGGGGGCATTGGTCGTAACACGGCAGGTCTGTGCCACGAAGGGACTGGGAATTCAGGAACGCCCTGTGGACGCCCTGGTGGGACCCAACGCCCTGTTTGTACCCAGCTGAATGCAGACAGGTCCTGCCCACGGGCTGCCAGCTGTGCTGCCGCGGCACATGGCTGGTCTCTCCTGAGGGCTGGAAATGAACCAGTCGGGGTGGAGCTGATGACGGGGCAGGGGGTGCTTCACACACAAAACCGCCCAAGAGCTTACAGCAAAGTAACAAGTGCCCCGTAGAGCTTCCCAGACACTCACAGCGCAGCTCCAGGCTGATGAAGTCCGTGATCCCCAAGTTTTCCAGAAACACCCCAGAGGAAGCCGTCGTCTTGAAAAAGAATGACACGTCGGCGCTGAGCTCTCCATGGAAGGTGGGGAAGTGCAGGTAGGAGGCCTCCGTGTGGAAAGACGCCGAGTTCCAGAAGGACCCTGACGGGAGAAGGGGGAGAAGGCAGCAAACCCATGAGGCATGTCAAACGTTCGCCGCTGAGTGCAGCCGCAACCTAAGAAGGCCGCGTTTGTGTTCTTTGTGACGTTTTCCTGAACATGAGGTCTGCGCGCAGAGTCGGCGGTTGATGAGAACCGGGAGGTGCGGGGCCCGCACGGCACAGGAAGGAATTCACCTTGGATGTAAGAAGTGTCTTCACTCTGAACGCCTTACCCAGGCAAATCACTTCAATAATGTTCCACCATACTTTTATTATCAAAACATTGGTTGGTTCATCATTTGGTATTTTAAGCACCTTTGTAAATTTAAGTTAAAGAAAATATCCTGCAGAAACCCCCTGAGCTGGCCACGCTCACCTTCCCACCCAGGCGTCCGGAACTTCTTCACACCCAGTCAGGGCCACCTCCACGTGGCAGGAGCCCCGGCTCTCATCCAGGCCTGGGTGGTAATTCCTCCTCCAATGAGAAGATTCATCAGTGGAACCCTCGCCTCATGCTACGACCGTGTCTCACAACACACGCTTTTCATCCAACAATCTCCACGGCTCCTCAGAAAACTGGATTGGAAAATAACCACTTTTCTTATACTGGTTTCTGTTAGTGTAATTTCTTTTATTATTATTATTATTATTATTTTTTGAGACAGAGTCTTGCTCTGTCACCCAGGCTGGGGTGCAGTGGTGCGATCTCAGCTCATGGCAAGCTCCGCCTCCCACGTTCACACCATTCTTCCTGTCTCTTATACACATCTAGATGTGTATAAGAGACAGGCTAAGACTTTTCATCCTCAGAACACAGGGTCCCGGCGGCAGAGTCACCCTATGAATTTTCCGCATAGTATTGCAGAAATTGTGTTATTTTATTTATAGGTACTCATAACTTATACAACTATATATTACACACATTATTCAAACGTGGCCATACGATCTCAATTAGGGCATTCGGCACAGTGCCTTGGGCATAAAAATTTCCGTAAGTATCTCTTTAATAGACTAAAATAGTTCAAAAAAGTAAAAAAATACACAGAAAATACTAAAATTAAACGTTTGTAAAATTAACAATTAGCTGCTTTTTTTTTTTTTGACTAGCGAAAGCTTGTAAGAGATGATTGCTTAAGCACAGAAATGTGTGGGGATCCTAAAAGTTCAAACATCCGCCTCACTGAGATTCCAGCAAGAGTCCGTGATTATTTTTCATTGATTGGAGTTCCTGATAAATAGCTTTTTTATTCTTTTGAAAATGCGGAGAAGTAGTCATAGAGGGGGTAATCCTTCTGTCTTCTTGAAGCCAAATGAGAATAAAATCACTTGTGGACAACACAACACAAAGCCAAAACCAACCAATAAGTCAGGGCAGGAGGCCCCGAAACCAACCAGTAAACCAGGGCGGGAGACCCCAAAACCAACCCTTAAGCCAGGGTAGGAGGCCCCGAAACCAACCAGTGAGCCAGGGCCGGAGCCAGGGCCCCCACTCCAGGCTGCGGGGCAGTCACAGCAAATGGCTGCTGAGGGTCTGGCCTGCCTGGAAATGTGAGCAAGCGACGGGGTAGGGAAGGAGGTGGGGAGCAGGAGGAAGGTGAGAGGGCCGTGGCCACCTCCCTCCTGGTTTCCTTCTGGCCCCAGTATTGGGGCACCCAGGGGAGCACCTGCTGCAGCTTCCGGGCGGGCGTCCACCTTCAGGTAGAGACCAGTGGTTGGTAATGGCTGCCACACCATTCACTGGGCAGGACGCAGCCGGAGCAGAGTGCCCCGGAGCCGGTCCTGGATGAGCTCACCGCCAAGCACCCGGCCGGATGTGGGGACGCAGCCCCGGGGATGAGCTCACCGCCAAGCACCCGGTCGGAAGTGGGGACGCAGCCCCGGGGATGAGTTCACCGCTGAGCACCCGGCCGGAAGTGAGGACGTGGCCCTGGGGATGAGGTCACCGCCGAGCACTCGGCCGGAAGTGGAGACGCGGCCCTGGGGATGAGC